TTTTCTCGAAGCTTACTTTTTGTGACATTCATCTTTTTCCTCCTGTACCTTTCAAATGTAGTCCATGCTGTTTGACTTTTTTTGTAATAACAAGATAAGTGTAACAGTAAATTGGCGGCGTAAGGTCTCAGTTTAAAGAGATTTTCAATCCCCAAAAGCTTGCTTTGGCTCACTTACACCAATAACTCGTAACTATTTGAATATCCGCGAAAAAGTGGTTCTTCCAACTTTGCCGTTCGAAAAGTTAGTCATCAACATCTTTTGTACCTCTCTTCGAGGAGCATGTCAGTATACCCTCAAAGATACAAATGCGTTTTGAAACAGCTTATTACAATTTTTCTCTCAAGTTGTAGATATTCTGGTATCATCTGCAATTAGATCGCTTCAAACTCTGCAAAATAAAGAGATCCTGGCGATTCGATTGACCTCCACTACATCGATTCCATTAAACTTCGTCCATAATTAATTTTTTAATACGTGTGCAAGCAGTAACTTAGCTGAACTTTATTCAATTAAAATGTTCAAGGGAATTTATTAGTAGCAGCAAAGAGGTACTCGTAAAAAGTTCGCCGCTTCTTAGGTCTTATCATTTAAAAGCAACTCTTTTCTCCTGAAAGGATGTTACGAAGAAAGTTTTAAAACTTGGTACCGATATAAAAGGTTATGCTACTTGAACTCTATATTGAAATACCTTATTTAAATTTTTCGTCAAAAAGCACGAGAGCCATGCGACCGGTATTTCTTTACAGATTTAACTGTTCCAAAAATAGTACTTCAAAATATTAGGATCAAAGAAAGCGAGAGGAAATGAAGTTTACTTACCATGCACGACATGAGACACTTTTTGCTGCAAACTTTTCAACCAGACAATAAGTTTTCCGTATATTACGTCTCGAAAGTTCGTGTCACTAATTTTTCTGCGTCTTTCTGTTGGTGCTTCTGGACCTTTGTAATCTCATGAGCCACTACACTGATTCTGATAAAATAATATGTAGTTAATAGTTAACTTATTTGAAAAAATTTACAATTTTTTGAGGATGGTGGTATTACGTATTTTTTATATAGGTACATTATAATAAAGCACCTAGGTAATTTAATAGCTGTATGTGCTCAAAATATGTATATGAATTATTTAAGTAAATATTAACAATATTCATTAGTATATGATCAATTAACTCTAACTTAATATGTAAATAAAAATATAATATATTGATTCGATTAATATTCTAAAATGAATACATAAACTGAGTGTATTTCCTATAAATATACAATTTGCATTTATTCACGAACAGAGGTTGAATCCCGATGTCTCTAATGTTTGCGGGTCTTACGGCCAAGATATGTCAAATAACGGTGACTATTATTTCTATGGCTGATTGGTAGCAAAACATCTCGATGGCTTCTACATCATGTGTTACATTGATGGTTTACATATACATATGATTTTTTATTTCATTTATTTTTTACTCCAGTTGCCACGAGCCTAAAGCCTAAATACGCGTGGGCGTACCGTGGGGCTATAAGGGGGAATACAGGGGGAAAGGGAAAATTTACACTAACAGCATGTATATATGTGGATGTAAGATTGAATATTGATAATATTATTGATAATAAAGATGAAGGGTATCTATTCTAATTTTAATAAATTGTTTCCAAAATGCACTTTTGAGCAATATTCAATTGTTTTAAAATACTGTTGTTCACTAGAAATTTATGTCGGATTAACGATTCTGTTACAGATTTATATATCATCGACAACACATTTTTTGAAAGCATATCCCTCAAAAGAAAATATATGAATTAATTTACGAATATTATTTTTAATGTTTATCTATTATTCATCCATAATATTTCTAACTGGAATTCTCTAAAATATCATTCTTAAAATTTAGAATAGAATTGTTTCCAAAATCTTGTCGATTAGCAGCAGTTGCTTGAAATGCTCTATAATATATGTCTTGTTTGAATTTAATATTAATTTGTGATAATCTAACCAGGATTGAATTTGTTGTAAATCAATACTTGTATGTGCTTCGATTGCATCCCACGTGTCTCCTTTAAATGAAATAACGGGGTCATCAGCATATGATACTGTAGCTACTTCTATACTCGTATTAAGGATAGTAAGTCAGGCTGCACACTGGGCACACATTTGTATTTCTACAATATTGGTGCGCCACGTTAAACTCTAACACTATTAACAATTCATTATATCTGTACACAGACACGCAGACTAGATGACAGTTGCAAATCATCCATTTGCATCGGCACATGCCATAAGATGGATGGAAAAGTATTCTGAACCCAAAAACGTCTTTTTTTCTCGTTAGTTGCCACATTAAAAAATCGTCATCGTCCTATGACGATGTTGTCGACATTTTAACCAACTTCAAAGCTACACGAAAAATGGTGTGTCCGGTGTGCGGTAGTAAGACACAATTGTTCCAAGCACCAACGAGACATAGAAATTGTGGCGAAGTAAATGTTGCATGCATGTAGCGTAACGCTTTGGTGTGCGGCCGCACTTAGTGATACAGTATGGAATATAATAAATAAAATTGGTCCAAGAACAATACATTGTGCACTCCAGTTGTCCACTGTAAGATCATCGAGTTTTAACAATTTGGTAGATAAATTTGATCGGGAAATTTGTAGTGAGGGACCTCTAGTACCATAACTTTTAAGTATGTTAAGCAGTTCATAATGTGGAACCATATCAAATGTATTTGGTTTGTCTAAAAATACGGCTATGCTTTTCTTGCCTGAGTTCAGGCTCGCAGTTATTTGACTTACGAGTGTTCACACATTGCATCACGTGTACTAAATCCCCCTATGGAACTATACTGATTCTTCGATAGTACATGATTGATCACAAAGTTTTTGGATTGTCTCTCTTTTCAAGAAGCTTTGCAACATTGCTTATGACACCTATATTTGTTTATATAATGTTTGCTGCTTGCTTGGTAAATTGGGAACTATGCAGGTGTTGAGTGCCTTATCATGTAAAAGCGGCTCTTTCCTTGTGAAATGATTTTACGGACAAATATAAAGAGAGATATGAAGAGGTATGTTACTTGAGCTCTGTGTTAAAATACTTTAAGTATTTCACCAAAATGGATGCAATCCAACCGGTTATAATTTCTAGATGTGAATGTTATACCTTTACTCCCTACGCATAAGTAAGGAAATATCGTAGTTGTGGAAACCCCAGATATTAAGTCTCGAAAAACCATGTAATCGATCTGCTTGCCTATTGATGTTTTTGTATCCACAGAGCTAACTGTAAAGACCTATCATTCAAAAGCGACTCCCTCCCAATGAAATGATGTTTTGAACATAGTATAAAAACTTGATACCGCTGTAAAAAGAACTGATGGGCATTACTTTTAATTGTCTATATTTTCATGTAGATACTGCTTAGATAATCTACTATGTAGACAATGAAAGGGCAACAAATTAGATTGTTTTCATTGTCTTCCTGGTTTAATGAGCTGAATTTATCTTCTTTTGTATTTTGTTCTTTTTCCTGCAAAAAAAGTTGGGTGTTGGATTAGCAAACTCCTCCCAATTAGTCTGAATAATAATGTTATTTATCAGTATTCTCTACTTCATATCCGATATACAATAAAAGTTGATAAAAAGCAGGCTAGTTTAAAATTTTAGAATTACTTTTTAAGTGGACACCGGCAGGGTTATTACGTATAAAACCTATATAATATCAAAAAAATCTGTAAAATGTTCGCTAGTGCACTAGGGGCGTCCTACAGTTGAACGCAAAATGAACGTTAGCTGGCTCAAATGTGACATTTATAGGAAATAATAAGGCATCGATATAATGTCACATTTTAAGTTACGTAGTAAGGGTGCCGGAGACTCTGTCGATAGTTACAAAAGTTGACTAGCAACAAGTAAATAAATAGAGTTCCCATCTAAGATGGCCATATCCTCATTCCATTGACGCTACTTTACTGGAGTAGAGCATACAATTATCGGTAAGCTAAAAAAAAGAGTGACTCAACTCCAGGAAGGCCTGTTTATACAGTACACTCTACCATCGTCTAGTAAACAAGTATCTAACTTTTGAGGCTTCTCCAGTCTAGTATTTTTCAGAAGACATGTTCTCATAAACATTGATTTTAATCTGCTATCTCTACATTTTCTACCGTGTGTACATGAAAATCAAGGTAATGACAAATGCAACTGTTTAGACGTAGGCGTAGCTGTCTTTTACGTGATGTAAACAATGCATATTTTATTTAAACTTACATGTTTACCTTTCTGAACAGAAAAAGAAAGAATTCTTGCTTGTTATGCACAGACACAAAAATGATTGTAATCTTAAACTTTTTTGTATGCTACAACTAGTTTAACCGGGTCACAGACATCGGTCTGTCCATAAATATCGGCATAATCTCGGAGGCGACCTCACCGATTATAATCAAATGAAATATTATTTAAGAACTCTTTCTTTGTGAAACGATATTACGAACAGCTTCGAGCGTCGATATCGTTAAGGGTATAGCTTACTGAAGTCTGTGAATAGAAATACTTTGTTTAAAATTTTCATCAAAAGACAAGCAGCGATGCGACTCAACTGATTGAAGAAAAACTGAGATAATTATTGAGAACATTAGTATCAGCTATGCTTACTTCCCACGCATTCTTATCATAGTCGTGGAAATATTGAGTTTTGCGATTATCTTATCGAAGCTTTCCGAATATTCCATCTCGAAAGTCCATTTCTCTTATTTTCGTCGCTTTGTTTATTTGTCTGTAGTTTCTTTTGTACCCGCACCGATTTTATCAAAAGTGAGATATGAATCAAGTGTAATGCTAATAGTAAATCTCAATCACATATTTATAAACTATGAAGTAATTTGCGTTACTTCAGTCACGTTTCTATTGAAAATGTCATCTCGTATAAACCAACATTTTTATTTACTCCATTTCAGCAGTTATTAGTACAGACCATGACTAATACGGTTTTCTCCTTGTTTCAGATTCATCATATTACAAGTGACGTGGAGTCAACTTCAGACAATGTGGTGCTTGATGTATGACACTATCGTGTTTTGTTTCACTTGTTATTGGACGAATGGGATCATACTAAGCATTATTGATTGTATGTAATACAAATACTTCTATGAATGCTGTAAGATATGTTAATTTACACATAAATTACGTTAATTCCTTTTGTTAATGTTGATGTAGTTAGGAAAAATAAATCTATGACTAGTTGAGTCATTTTGAAAGAAACTGAAATGTGTGTGCCGTGGTGAATTTTAGGCAGAAATCGCTTGTGGGTCTCTCTAATATAAGGAATACTTTCACACCCTACCGGTGTGACGGTCGAGTGACAAGGATTATCGCGTATTCGTACCATAAGGGCAAAGATCAGCACCCGATGGTTCAGTGAGCGCTGTCAGATGAGAGACGAACGCTACATGTAATTTCTATAGCACCACAAATAGCTGACGCTACACACTGAGACGACAGAGGAGAGCATCAAAAATATTTTTGTCCAGATACCGCACACTGATGAAAATAATATCTGCTTACGGGCAGCCTGGACGCCATCCTGATATATTTTTTAAATGAAATAAGGGGCTATGAGCTACAAGAATATAAAGTCACTGCTATCCGAAATGGTGGACTTGCGGGCGGTTTGCACATTGAATCGCTTATATTTTTGACAAAAATTCGTCAGATAGTTATGGTATGTTATTAGTATCGTTTTAGAAGGGACTATCTGAGTATGCAATAGAACGTGGGACATTTCGTTTGAGAGACTTTGATAATCTCTTTTCAATGGAACTATCCATATTTTATTAGATACTAGCTGACCCGACAGACGTTGTCCTCTCTTAACCGGGATGAATAATGAATAATGGAAGGGTAAATATATGAAATATATATAACTCGATACCGAAGTGTTTGTACCGTCATGTGGCTAGCAAAATACGTTGGCAGCACTGCTATTCCCCCATCAACTTACCTTGAAAGTAGGCGTAAATGTACCTATGTATATGACGTCATTTGAAAGCAATTATTGTATTCCTGGATGTCCGTCAAAATATATATAGAGTCTGACCCTTTTCCAGAAACCAATGGATGTACTGGCTCTGGTGGTGGTACCAATGGAGTCAATTTGTCTTTTCCACTGGCGCAACATAATCAACAATGGACACATCAACAATGGTGTGCAGTAAAATGGAGTGATGAGGCCCGATTCAAGGTTGTGTTGGTGACAGTATTAGATGTTGACTGTCTGAAGAGAAAAGGAAAATTTTCAGCATCCATTATAGTCTGGGGCGGTATGTCATCAAAAGGAATACGTCGTTTTATTGATGGAAATGTCGATACAAACAAATATTTGGCAATTTTAGAAGAATCGCTTTTATCAGTGATGGAAGAATGTTTGACGTCCGGCCAAGATTTTGTGTTTCAGCAAGATGGTGCAGCGTGCCATACCTCAAAAAAGGCTATAAAATGGATGGAAGAAAATAATGTATCACTTTTGAAAGGGGTTTCTAGCAGCCCAGATCTATCACCTATTGAAACTTTGTGGCACGAGATGAAAAAGGTTCTACGACAACATCCTCCTCGTACAATCACCGAACTAAGACAAAAGCTTCAAGAGATATGGGATTGTTTTTCACCAAGTTTTTGCCAAAACTTGGTTAACACTATGCCCCAAGGAATTTCAGCCGTAATAAAAAATAAAGGTGGTTACCCAATGGTAATCTTTCAATAATTGTTGCTTTGTTAACTTCGCGCATTTATTCGCACATTGTTTATTTGTTCAGATGTTCTATTAGTTATAGGTCTAAGTGATTTCAAATATGTGTTTTTACGTCTAGAGTGTATCTAAAATGTTTTTGAGAAAGTAAATTGCTTTAGAATTAAATAGTTACGTCATGTTTGGTTAATAAATCATATTTTGGTACAAATCTTGAAGTGGGCCAACTGAAGTGGGAAGAGGCTTGTATATACAGAGTGTACGCAAATTGTACTTTTTCTCAAGAATTTCAAATGCATCACGCTGTTTATTTGTACAAGTTTGGATTCAATGTTTGGTATAAGAATTGATTCAAACGAAATCACTAGATTTTTAATTATTAATAGAACAACACACCAAAATTAAGGAAAAACATCACATCATCCATGGAAACAAAGGACAAACCGTGGGCTAGTTCCATATTGCCAGTAAGAGTACAGATTTGACGTAAAAACTAATAGCAATCAGAACAGTATAAATCAGCTTCACACGTAATAGAGAAAAAGAACTATAACAACAAAATAAACAAACAACTATCACTACTCCAGACCTAATCTACAAAAACTGCTCGAAAATATCTCCACCATGTTGAATACACAGCCGTAGTCTTTGGATAAATGACCGTTGCACATCCCTCAGCATGTGTTCCCTTATGTTCAGAAAGCATCCCAATTAACAATTATCACTCCTATTAGGGTTGCAAGAATGATTATACAGTATTCCTTAAACAGCATTGTATACTGTAAGAACATTAGCAAAACCCTCTTAGAACAGCTATACAAGCGGAATGGGCACACCTAATAGGACACCTTAGTCATTTAAGAGGTTGTATAAGGGCTGCAGGTAACATTTATAAAACAAAAGTGAAAGCCTCTTGCAGCCGCTATAGGACATTTGCGTCAGTGCAAGATTCAGTTTTTGTCAACTATACAACTATTCTCTTACGTGATTCTACTTTATTGCAACCAAACTATTTCCTATGCATTATACAGGGTGTTTCAGTTTATTGTTGCATAACTTAAAGATTCGATAGAACTTTTAAAATTAATGCATAAAGTCTATATAAACATGAGTCGAAAAATGCGTGGCTTCCGAAATACAGGGTGTTTAAATTTACTTTCTAAAATATTTTTTTTTAAATATTTCGAACAATATTTGATGTATTACAGTGAAAATTGGTATACAAGGGTTTTTTGATACGACAAAACGATCCATGGACATAGTTTTACTGTAGCCGCTAGAGGGCGCTCTCTACTGTACCTGTAGTGTATTAAAATGACCGAAAAAATTTTCTTAGTGCAATTTTTTGCTTTTTAAATAAAAAAATGATTTTTCGCACTTTTCAACATAAAAAAGCTCTCTTGTGAATTTTCGTTATAGTTAGCCGTTTTTGAGATATTTCGATTTTTAAGGTTCGATACATTTTTAATTATTTATGATAAAATAACGTTAAAATGTCAGTATCTCGATAATTTTTAGAAGTAGGCTGTGCCTGCAAATATTTTTGAAATTGAAAGCAGAATAAGGTTAAACGTCAATTAGACAGTTAGTTTTGTTGTATGTTGAAACCTGAAACGTTTTTTTGCAATTGTGAATGCACGAAATTTAGTTTCTTTTACCTGTTTTTTTTTGTAAGTTTTATAAAAATGCCATTTTTATTCTCCAATCAAGAGTTAGCGGATATTCATTTTGTGTATGGCTTTGTAAATGGGAACGCAGCAGAAGCAGCCAGAGAATACGCACGAAGATTTCCAAACAGACGACATCCAACTCGCTCAGTATTTGTAAGAGTGCATCGCCAAATAATTGAAAATGGTTTTGGAAATCTCCAAAGGGATCAAAACATAAATGTTCGTCAGCGCAGATTTACCCGTATGATTCTGCGTGAGTTTGATAAAGATCCGACCACAAGTGTTAGGAGAGTTTCTGGTGCCTTGGGAATTTCAGCAAGCCATGTTCACCGTGTTCTTAGAAATGACCATAGAAGTCCTTACCATTTGCAACCTGTGCAAGGACTACAGAGAGGGGACGGAGAACGAAGAATCACATTTTGTCAGTGGATTCTTGATAGAACTGATAATAATAGGGAGTTTTTAAGCAACGTTTTATAGACCGATGAGTCATGCTTCAGTGGACGTGGAGTGGTAAATTTTCATAATCAACATATGTGGTCGCATGCAGCTCGGGAAAGAAATTTTCAGCATGAATTTAGTGTGGACGTATGGATTGGTATCTACCGTAATCGACTATTTGGACCCTACCTTTTGCCTGCAAGGTTAAATGCTGCGATCTTCTTGGATTTTTTAAAGGCCGAACATGCAAATATGTGGGATGATGTTATGTTAGATTTAAGAAGATTGGCCTGGTTCCAGCTTGATGGTTGTCCAGCTCATTATTTGAGAATAGTTAGAAACTGGCTGGACGAAAATTATCCAGAAAGATGGATTGGCCGTGGAGGACCAGTCGCCTGGCCTCCACGATCCCCTGACCTAAATCCATTAGATTTCTTTGTGTGGGGATTTCTAAAAGAAAAAGTGTACCAGACTCCCGTAACCACAAGAGATATGCTAATAAACAGAATCAGGAATGCATGTGATGAAATAAGGCCTTATTTGAATAATGCTATACCACTTTCGATCATTCGTAGATGCAAATTGTGTATTGAACAATTGGGTTTAGATTTCGAGCAACTACTTTAGATTTTGTATGTTTGTCCTAACTATCCAATAGCATTTTAGTAGTAAATAATTAATTTAATTTGTTAAAAATAATATTGGAAAACTAAACAAATTAATATTCTGTTTTTTGTGTTTATTTGGAGTTAGGAATTATTGCTGTGTTTAAAAACACAATCTAAACGATCATCTTAATTACTTGTAATGCCCAAATCGAAAATGTAAAAAAAATATTATTTTACCATAAGTAATTAAAAATGCATCGAACCTTAAAAGTCGAAACATCTCAAAAACGGCTAACTATAACGAAAACTCACAGGAGAGCTTTTTTATGTTGAAAAGTGCGAAGAATCAGTGTTTTTATTCAAAAAGCAAGAAATTGCACTAAGAAAAAATGTTCGGTCATTTTAATACACTACAGGTACAGTAGAGAGCGCCCTCTAGCGGCTACTGTAAAACTATGCCCATGGTTCGTTTTGTCGTACCAAAAAACCCTTGTATACCAATTTTCACTGTTATACATCAAATATTGTTCGAAATATTTAAAAAAAACTATTTTAGAAAGTAAATTTAAACACCCTGTATTTTGGAAGCCACGCATTTTTCGACTCATGTTTATATAGACTTTATGCATTAATTTTAAAAGTTCTATCTAATCTTAAAGTTATGCAACAATAAACTGAAACACCCTGTATAGACGAAGTGAAGAATATATAACTAACACATTACAGTCATCTTGTTTACTTACATATCGGCCATTGTGAATTTCATACACAGGTATATGATAAACTTCTACTCTTTGATATAGGGCTATTGAATTACTTGCGCAGCAAATTTTATTGTGATTATCGTGCAAATTAGTTACCCAATTTCTACGGGCTTCGCGTTTGATTCATATTTTG